CTGCGTTTTTATTTGGTTCGTTTTTGTTCTTTCTTTTTTCGTTTTCGTTTGTGTATTTTTCTTTGGGTTTGTGTTTTTGTATTTGTGTTTGTGGTTGGTTTTGCGTTTGGATTTGGTTTGTTTTGGTTTGCTTTTTCGTTTGTGTTTTTTCTTTGGGTTTGTCTTTGTGTTTGTGGTTGGTTTTGCGTTTGGATTTGGTTTGTTTTTCATTTGATTTTTCGTTTTTTTTTTCTTTGTGTTCGTATTGGTGTTTGTGGTTGTGGTTGGGTTTGTTGTTAGGTTTTTGTTTTCGTTTGCTTTTTTGTTTATTTATTCTTTGTGTTTGTATTGGTGTTTGTGATTGTGGTTGGGTTTGTTGTTAGGTTTTTGTTTTCGTTTGTATTTGTAATTGTGTTAACGTTATGTTTGCGGTTTGTTGTTTTGGTTGGTTGTGGTTTGGGTGGGCAATGCCGGGTTTATGATGATTACTAAACACACAGGTAATGGTCTTTAACAGAAAGGTTTTTCACAGAAGCCAGAGCAGGGCCTGGCCGGGACGGCTAGTATATATATATATATATATATATATATATATATATATATATATATATATATATATATATATATATATATACATATATATATACATATATATATATATATATATATATATATATATATATATATATATATATATATATATATACATATATATATATATATATATATATATATATATATATATATATATATATATATATATATATATATATATATATAGACATATATTTTACACCTCATTTGGAATCATAGAGCTCTACGTTTGTTTAAAAGCACTAACCTTTATGTTCTTACATTGAATTATTGTGAACAACAAAATGCACTTCCCTATTTCATGGAAATGCACACCAGAGCACCATTCTGATCAATAGTTACTCTTTAAAAATGAGATAGGAAAGAGATTGTAAATACAATGTCAAGTCGAAGGTTGTAGATTTAAAAATCGTACATTTTAATTTTTTTCTGGTGGCACACTAATAGGCGAATCAAACTTTGATTTTCCGTACAAAGTAAATCAATTAATTCGCATCTTCCTAGTGATACTAGTCTAGATCTAGACGATGGATCGACCTAGCCAGACTAGATACAATAAAATGATTTCAATAATTGTTTCCTTGGGTAAGTTGGTAATGTGATAAGCCGTAAGCTAACTACTAAACGTTTTTATAAGTGAAGGCCCTATAAATGATTAATTGTTGTTTCTTCTAATCAAGAATGTCAAAAATATTTGTGATTTTTCATAATGGTCGCTTATTTATGTATTTTTTTTTCTAGAGAAAAATATTTTTTTATGAATTCGTGTCAAGTTTTGTATCACCGTTTTCAATAGTTCCACTTCCTAATGTATTTGTGTCAAGTTTTGCATAAGCGTGTTCAAAAGTTCCACTTCCTAATGTATTTGTGTCAAGTTTTGTATAAGCGTGTTCAGTAGTGTAACTTCCTGATGTATTCGTGTCAAGTTTTGTATTAGCGTGCTCAACAGGCAACATTCGATTGAACAAGTTTCGCATATAGTGTTTTTTTTTTAATTTGAAATTCTGTGCGAATTTTCTACTCTGTCCTAGCAATTGTTCTATAACTCTTATGGTTTTGGATTTTAAGTGTTTTAAGGAACTATCTCTTTTAGTTTAACTCTTATTAGGGAGTTTGTCCACAAGATATTGAACGTTAGACCCCACCCCCTCCCTGCTTTATTTTTTTTTTATTTCAATCAGTAGGACATAGGCAAAAGTAAATAGATCTATATTTTCTATATAAATTATATTTCGTTCGGGTGGCGGAGGTGGGTGGGGGGGGGGGTAGAAGTGTTGCGGGAAATCCCCCACCCCCAAATGGAAAAGTTACCTGGAACAAACACTAATTTGTATACAGAATTGTAAGAAATTAATATGATCATTGTATCTGTTTGTCTAACTGCTCGGTCACGACAGGGGTATACATTTTATAACCAGTTACTCCAAGATTTAGTTACTGGATGTTATGTTATGATAAAGACGAGCGCTGCCATTGATATTTATACATTAACTATGCAGATTCAGTGGAACGCCCCGTAGTCCACCCTTATGGGTATCTAAGTCACGTTAGTGAAATTAAAGGCAATTGGGCTTTGACATATTTCGAGGTCAAGAAGCGTATGAACTCTTCTTCATCTGCCCAATAGTTCGCAAGGTCTAAAGAGGAACTCAGAGGCGTAGCGACCCTTCCCGGCGCCCGGGGATAAACTTTCGATTTGCACCCCCCCCCCCTCGAACTTTTCATTTGCACCCCCCCCCCCCCCCTCAAACTTTCGATTTGCACCCCCCCTCGAACTTTTTATTAGCACCCCCCCTCAAACTTTCAATTCGGCCCCCCCCCTTAGGTCGGCGCCCGGGGACATATGCCCCCCCCCCCCGCCCCCCCTTCCCTCGCTACGCCTCTGGAGGAACTACCACTAGGACGGGATGAAGAGATCACACTTTTATGTATTAATATTAAGAGATATTGTGGTCAGCACTATGCCCAGTCGCTGTCCCAAACGTGAATTGAGTACCCATCAGAGCTGGGTTAACTCAGGGACGTTCGACTCGGAATTGAACGCGTGACTTTTGTTTTAGCAGTCTAGTTCTCTACCGCTAGAGCACGCCGTCCCATCAATTTATAAAGAGCACATTTATACTCTTCTCTGCCATTATACAACATTGTATTACATTTCCCTACCATCTTCTCTTGCAGCTATTTCATGTGTTAATTCCTTGAAAGTGACCGTAACCATGGATCCAGCACCTAGTGTGATCAAAAACACTGATGCCAGTTTCAGTTGCAGTTGGGAGTTGGAACAAACCGAAATCGTCTCATCCACTATAATAAGCATCGATTTCGGATTCATTGAAAAGCCCGTATATCAATATGTATTGGCTACTGGGAATTTAAACGTGGACACAGCGGGCCATCACAGTCGACTATCTGTGGTCGCAATAACTGGTTCATATTTTACTATGGCCATACATAATACACAGTGTATGGATGAAGCGAGATATATCTGCAAGGTTTTATATTCAGAGCACACGTCGGGCCCAACTCATAATAAAGTCAAATTTGTATCTCTATCCATTCAAGGTATTGATATTGTTGGGTCGATCCCCCTCCCCGTTGGAAATTACCCCCTTCCCCCTCTCCTGCTGAAGATCCTAAACCCAAACCCGCCAAACCCAAATGTATCAGTAACTCCAATATCAATCCTAAACCCAATTCTAAAACTACATCTAAGCCTCAACTTAAAATTGACCCTAAAACTAGTCCTAATCCTAATCCTGACCCAACTTAACACTAGAACTAATCCTGATTCTGACCCTGGCTTTGACACTGACCCTAACTTGGCGGGTGATCACTGAATGTAATTGCTCTGGGGGGGGGGGCAGGAGTAATGTCGCGGGGGAAATATCCGCGGTTAATTGGCGGGGGGGGGGGGATAATGTCCTACTCCCTTTATAATTAGACTACTAATCTGTTTTGCTTTTACAAAATTACGGAATGAATTGTTGTATATATATATATATATATATATATATATATATATATATATATATATATATATATATATATATATATATATATAAAGGCAATGTATGTGTGTCTCTGTTTGTTTGTCTTTTATGCATTAACACAGGTTTCATCCGTTCACATGAAACTTTGGGAAGTTATTGAGAATACTCCTGGGGATAACTGGGAATTGATTTTATCAAATCAGG